TTCCAAGAGTGTCCTCGCACCACGGTGCTTGGGCCCTAACGACAATGACTTAGTTTAAACAAACACATTGTATGGTTCTGAATGGCTACCATAATCACATATAAAATACTATTGAAATGATAGCGAAAGATACTTTAGAGAATATTATGTTTTAGAGAATGGTACGTACTGAAAATAAAACATGGTATTACTGCGGTATCGTATCCAAAAAACATGGTAGTATCATGGTACTTTCTTGTTAAAATCCCATTTTAAATATAGCAATATAGCTTTTTCGTATTTGGCTTTAAAAAAAGCATGGTAGTACTATGGTAAATGTGCACAATATTAAAAAACAATAAAAATCATTGTACTTTCTTGTAGATGCAAAGACATCTGTTTAGTTTTGTTTTGTTGGGCTTATGGAAATTTCCACACAAAATATACTGTGGTGGTACTATCAGTTTACCGTATTGTAATTTATACATGTCAAAGTATATGATACATAAAAAAAAAAACACCATAGTACTACTATGGTAAATGTAAATAATAATAAAAAATAAATAAATAAAGGTAGTATCATTATTTTATTTTTTCTTTATTTATATATTTATTGTACATGTAGAGACTTCAGTTTTGTTATGGAAATTTACCCTACAAGATCAACTGTGGCGGTACCATGGTACAGTGAGGATATCAGATGATAATACCATGGTATTTCCATAGTACTCCAAACTAACTACTTCTAATAATATCACAGTATTACCATTGTACCATGTCCAAAAACCAAGTTAGTCCAAAAACCATGGTAGGTTTGGGTACACAGTAATAGCATATAACTGAATGATTACCACATTCATATACCATAGTACTGAAATTATGCCTCAGAGAATATCAGGGTCCATACTGATAATAAAACATGGTATTACCACAAAAATGTCCAAAATAGTAATATTGTGGTCCTACAGCTTTGGACAGTATATGTTCAAAAACCATATTAGTAGCATGGTAGTTTTGAGAACTCTGTAACATGGATTACCATATTCATATACCGTGATACTAAAATAATACAGAAAGAAGCTTTCTTAGAATATCATGGTATTATTACCACCGTACCACTTCAAAAACAATATTACCATGGTACTTTTTTGTGCAAGGAAAAATAGCAGAACAGCATTCCCAAGCCCAGTGCCAATACAGTGAGTCTTAGATACACATCTCTTGGCTGTCGGCCGCGGCTCTTAGCACTAAGCTAATAGGAGCGCTCCTTTTATCATGATGCAGGAACCCGATACTGCGGATGAAATGTGGGGCACGAGCAGCCTGCGCTGCTCTGTCAACCAAAACACCTGGCATCACCCTTGAGCGGCCCATGCCAGCCGGTCAGCTGGGGAAGGTCATTAGCTGTGTGAGAGTGTGTGTGTATGGAGTAATATAGATCTAAATTAAGCTTCATGTCATTCTAAAGGAGTACCGTTTGACTTGACCTTAGCTTCTGATACCACACAATGTATACATGTATTCATCATTTATAATGCATTTCATTTTAAGCGAAGAACTACAGCTTCTTCATCATCAATGATCAATGAAATCTTGCCAATAGCTAATGAAGTCATCTAATGTAAGTATAATAAAGTGCGATGCAATAATAGCAAAACAAAAGATTTGAAGAAGCATTACCATTAGAATAGACTGAGATGCGCTGGACGCTGAACTTGATCTTCTGTCTCCACATCCTGGTCCAAAAACCTTCTGGAAACCTTCCAGGGTAAACTCTCACTTTCCACCATCCAATTAAGTCCTGCCCTACATTTATTTATTTATTTTTAATTACATATGGTATTTAACAACAACAACAATAAAAATAAATAAATAAAAATAATAATAATAAAACAATAATCATCATAATAATAATATTAAACTTATCACATCACCTACTCAAAATGACTGTAAAAGCCAACTATTGGTTTTAACATTTTTTAATATGGATGACCTTAGGTTTATAAATATTTATATATCATAAAATTATGAGGGGCCAAACAGGAATTATTTTTATATGACAATTAAATACACGCTGTATATTATAAATATCCTAAATATATTGTTAGATTCATAAATATTTAAATCCATAACTATATATTGATTCTCATTTATATAATATACATTCACAGTTAAAATTATATATTCAGGTTTACATCTATATATTCACATTTTCATTTATATAATCAGATTTGCATCTTCTTATTAAGATTTATAACTATATTTATAAGATGTATAGTTATAACTATACTATAATCTTTCATCAAAGTGGTGCTAAAACCAAAATGCGTTCTTCAAATGTTGAGTACTGTATGCACACACACACACACACACACAGACAGACACACACACACACA